CTTCTGTAACCTGCCACAGTGTTTTTATTGTGACTCTTTATGGAAGCGCAGCTGAAAAGGGTCAGTGTAACTTGCTCAATTTGCAGAAACAAACTACACAGTAAACTGCAACTACAAATTGACAATGGGTCACATAAATTTAGCGTTTGTGTATGTAGCCTTTGTATGTGCTCCCTCATTGTCTGAAGATTACCACAAGCCTGAAAAACGTGAGGAAAGTCATGGGAAAATGTTCCAGCAGTACACTATAACAGAAGTCCATGCTGAAAGAAATGTGCAATGACCAGATGTGCAAAGAGCTGTTGATCTACATATATCGCTGTTGACTGAAATTTAATTTGCCTAAATCAGTGTGAGAAAAATCAGTCAGGCACACATGGCATAATGATGAACACTGGAGCACCTACGTCGACTCATTGACAGTCTCATCTCTGCCAGACTTTGGTCACCACCTCCATTGTTCATGCATATGAGGAAACTGAAGGAATGAGAGCTCGCATACAGTGTCAGGTCGATTGGATTATCTTGGATTGTTGTAGTGCCTGTATTAACCCAAGCTAGCTGACTTTGCAGTGCAGTGGATGTGGAGCATTCCAAGCAGTTACAGTTCCACCTGGGTGCAGATGATTCCTTCAAGCTAAGGATAGTAGACTGGTATTCTTACTCTGTCACATTAAAACTCCCTGGCTTTTTGACAGATGGTACTGAAGAATGCATCCAAATTCAGAATTCAATCTAGGCATTCTGGTTTTTTCTTGATACTGAAATAACATTGACCAAAGTGGCTTACTTACATGAAGAAACCAATGCAAACATCCTGAATCAGTAGGACAATTTTGAAATAGGCAAGAGGTTTAAAGTTGTGCACATGCATATGTACTAATTAAAGTAGGACAGAGGTTATGCACAGCCGATTAATTTTCTGGTGTGTTTAAGGAGCAGACATTTGTTCCTTATCTGTCATTTTAGACATGTTAAATGAAAAAAAAAAAAAAAGCATTTCTCTCACTGGTGTTGAGAAGCTATTGTAATATCATTCTGAGCTTGCTAACCTTCAAGTGGTATGCTTCATGCTTTATGGTGGCTGCTTAATAAACAAAGCCTGTGTGCGTGACCACACTCATCCTTGTTGTAAGCGTGTAAGGTCAGTGACTCCCATCAAATAAAGCTTGCATTCACATATCTGAATTTTGGAATTTGAATAGGTTGCTTATGGTCTTTTTAGCTTGTTATGTATGTTCTCTCACAGAATTGGTTGATGAGGTTTTATTGATGAGTTTTATAACCTTTTATATCTGCTTATTAAATTTGTACCTTCGTAAGACTCAATTCAACATTGCCAACCAGCATTTATTTTCTTTTTCATACTCTTCGGGAATTAATTTTCTTAGTTTGTTTAAAAATTCTCAGTGTTTGTAATAGCAAAAGTAACACCAGGAGAAAGGTTAGCATTTGTGAAGAAAGAGACTTCGCAGAATTCGAAACAGATTATTATTTGGGCATTGATTGTTAGTTTTTTTTTGTAACATCTCAAATGTATTCATGGAATTCATTATTCCATGGAAAAATGAGGTAATCTGCCGTTAAAAAAAGAAAAGGGAGGTAGGCATAGCTATGTAACCATAAAGTTGTTTATCCTGAATGACACAGGAAATAGAAGAAATTGAATAGGAGAGTGGAAATCTGTCTCTGACACACCCCAGAAAAAGGAAAATAGCAATAGCGTTAATACTTCTAAACAGTAGTGGTCAGACAGACCTGTTTGGCTTGCAAAGATTGTACTGGTTTGAAGTTCTGTTTGTAAAATGGGCAGTAGAGATGGGTATTGCAGTGCTTAACAACAGATGGGATTAGCTCCAGTGCCCATTTCATCTGACTTCTTCACGTGCTAATTCTCTTCTGCAAGACTGCTCACATACTGAACCTCTGAGCAGCTTTCAGTGGGCTACCATGTTTTGCTGCTGTTTCCATCCAACTTCCATTTGTTGTGGAATATCTGTCCCAAATTACGCTGCGTTAGAAACACACATTCCATAGCAGCCAACACTAGATCAGTGTTTGAGTTCCGCTCGAGATCCTGTGGCAGAGCAGAGCTTTGGAGCTGAGCAACTTAAACAGCTCCCTGCATCCATTAACTTCTGAGTTTCTTTTGTGTCATGTAGTGACTTATTTCACTGTGCTCTGGCTAAAAGGCTTGTCTTGAAGGAACTACCTCATTACTCAAGCTCACTCATTTCCTTTCCTTTCACTAGTGGGCTCTTTACAACACACAATGTAAAGGTTTTGAGGAAAAAATGAAACTAGTATATTTTAAATAAACTTAGGAGTATCTTTTCCTGAGACTACATTTTATGGTTACCTTTAATATCCCTGCAGACTGCCTGTAGTTAAAAGAAGCAGCAGCAGCATGTGATCCCAGTAATCTAAAAGAAAGTAATCTGCAGAAAGGAACTAGAGCTGCAAACAGCTTTGACAGATTAAAAGGATATATTGAACAGAATTTTTAGCTTTGTCATTTTTGGAGGGGAACGGGACCCACTGTATTTGGAGCTGACTGGAAGCTATGTCTGCAGAACATGCATCGGGAAAACACAAGTCCATTCTGCCCGTAGTCCTACTGCAAGTGCAACTTTGATCCAAAAGCAAAGTGACCAGGCTAAGGACAACTAATGCACTATTTTGGGTGACTGCCAGGAAGCGATAATTGTCTTTGTTAACAGGCCTGGTCGTTAAGAGTTTTACTCTAAACCCAATAAGCTAGTCAAGTCCTTTTTTAAAAACCCTGTATATATAAAAATAGCACGAGTATTTGTGTATATCTGTGTGTACATACAGCTACACAGATGCCCATATGTTTGTATATATAAATTCTCTTTAATATATTATGACAGTGTTGCACATGTTATTATGGAAGACCATAAGCAAGACTGGTTGTGTAAGGAAGAAATATGTGTTAGAACAACCACTGTGAGAGGGAGGGAGGCACAGACAGGTGTTTAGGCCAGTTGTCCCTTCCAGACTGAATATCTGGTTGTGTCTGAACGCTCATCTGTTCTGTCCACCTGTGCTACAAGACTGTGTTACCTGAAAGATGCTCACTATCACTTTAATTTCAGTATTTTCTCTTGCCATGACTAGCTGTTTAATGTTAAATATTTGCAGTCCTTCCTGAGGATCTACACTGTTGTGATTATATACACTAAGCAAAAAGATAAAAAAGCTAGCCTGTAATCAGAATTTCTTTTTTGCTCTCTTGTCACAATTTGTTTCCTCTGTACACCGCAAGTTTGTGTTGAGGACTGGTGCATACTCACACACACCTTCCTTATGGTGGTGTTGCGCTCTACCTTTAACTCAAAGAGCAGCTGTAGAAACTGTTGTGAAATACCTACATTACCTGTGATGCACTCTGTTTAGATTGTTTCTGAAATGCACCTGTTACTGTGCATAATGAATAGAGCTGTCAATCATGCTGAGATTTTATTGTGTTTAGTACCTTTAGTTGAACCATCTTGGGACTGACTTGATTAGTCCAACAGTTAGATGGATTGCAGCTACCAAAGTGGGTATGAACTACCGTGATTGTGTCTGGGCTAAAGCAGGTAAGAGGCAAGAAATGTTGTAGTGACATTTTTGTGTTATCAAGCAGATGATGAAGTAAACTGTATTAAAGAAAGATGACACTTGGTGGACTACTTTTTAATGTTTACTTCAGGAATAAAACACTCTTGGTGCGGCAGATTTGGTATGACAGGGTAGCGTGGAGGAGGAGGACTCAAGTACGAAGGAATGCAACGAATTACTCCCAGTAAGCTTTTTCCACAGAAATGCTGAAGCTGTGGGTGTATTTAGAGCAAAACATTATTTCCTGTGAACTGATTGTGAAATATATGAGATGTCTACTTTATCTAAAAGGGACTGTTTCATTAGAGGCGTATTCGTGCTAGCTCTGTTAAACCTTTCCTTAATCAGCCTTTTGGGAAATTCGGTGTCTCCAAGCTTGCTTATATTCAGCAAGTTTCTGAAATCTGTAGCTGCATTTGAGAAGTCAGGTAATTTACTGCTTTCATGACAGTCTAGTTGCTGAGCAAACTTTTTATAGTGATTTATGGGTAGGAGTAGAGGAACTGCCTTGAGCAGGAGGGCTACAAAATGGTCAATCTGTTTTCAGAACGTCACATCTGAAACAACGATAGATGGGCAGTATTGTTAAAACTGTGAATGGTAAAGCTGTTTTGCACAGTACCAGGTTAGCTATGTTAAATCCCGTGATACTGGCTTGAGGATAATTGAGAAGTCATTCTGGGGACTGGGGAAGAAGTCTGGGAATACATGTGAGAGATACATAGACAGTCTGTTACTAGCAAAGCTTGAAGTATCTTTGTTTAGGGTTGACCCTGGCCAGTAACTAAGCACCTACCAGCTGCTCACTCACTTCCTTCTCCCCCTCCAGTGGGATGGGGGAGAGAACTGGAAAAAGAAAAGTGGGCTGTAATAAAGACACTTTAAGAAGTGAAGGAAAGAAAGAAAAAAAAAAAAACCAGTGATGCAGTCAGTCACTCACCATCTCCCACCAGTAGACTGATGTCCAAGCAGTCAGTCCCCAAGCAACGGCTATATTGGAAAAACCAAACCCATGGGTTTTATTGCTGAGCACAACATTATAAGGCAGGGAATATCCCTTTGGTCAGTTCTGGTCAACTATGCCAGCTGTGTCCTCTCCAAACATCTTTCCTAGCCCCAGCCTACTTGCTGAGGGTGCAGAGTGAAAAACAGAAAAGGCCTTGATGCTGTGCAGTCACTGTCCAGTAACAGCGGAAACGCTGGTGTGCTATCAGCACTGTTTAGTCACAGATGGAGAACACAGCACCATGCTGAATGCTGTGAAACATCCCAGACAGAGCCAGTGCAATCTCTGCAGTATCTAACAGAATAAAAATACATTAAAATCACTTTTGGAACAACTGTACCAGGTCGGTGTAATTTACAGTATCGAGAAGATGGCATTTGATTATGGAAAGACACATGTCCAGATTGTATTGGCAAAACAAGATACAGACTTTTCTTCCTGAGAATACTGATTCCATTCTAGTCCATTGTGCAGGAGAAATACGGGTTACAGATTTCTGCAAAATGATTGTGGACTTGAAGAATTGTGTGGCATACCAAATCTTACTTGTTTTCTTCCTTATTTCTGAGTTCAGTGAAGACATTCAGATTTTAGATATACTGTATTGTCTTTTTTGAATTAATAACCTGGCAGTTAAGATGTTAGTGGACTATGGAAGAAAATCATGTAATATATGTCTATATATCAGACATTATAGCACATGTGTTTTTGTAGAGAAGTACACTCAAATTATATACAAGGGAAAGTATTTTCCAAATGCAGGTGTTAAAGCACTGACATATCTGCATGTGGTGTGCTTGATTAGTACAATTAAAGGATATAAGAACAGGTGAAATATGACACCAATTACATGCTAAACATGGTATACCTATGAGTTAATCTGAAATGACTGGCGTCTTTTTTCTAGGGGTTTTAAGCATGCATGCCCTATGTTGGCACTATGGCAAAAGTTCACCTAGGCAGAGGTCTTACAGTGAAAGTGATGAGATTGGAGATGTGTCTGTTGTGATGCCAAACATTTAGTAGGTCTGAGGTGCTGTTGGAAAGGGCTGGAGAGTTAATTAGGTCATAAACTACCATTATCTTCTCACAGCATGGATGGAAGTAGCTTCTGGCTCTCCACACTTGATACTATGGCCAAACCCAGAATCACGTTCATTTTGTCAGACTGCCTCTTCCATATTTTTACTTGTTTCATGTGATGAACAGGAGGTCACACAGATCTTTTTTGCCAACACTTCTTGATGTTTCAGATGCAAAGAAAGAAGCAACAAATAAAACCCTTAGGCCTCACATTTATGTGTGTTCTTATTGTTGAAATTTGAGTAAAACAGTGGCTTATAAAGTTTGTCTGTTAAGCAAAACATGAGCTCAGTTATCTTAAACATGTCTGTGAAATGCAGCACTGTAATATTCCACTGTGCTTTACCATTAACACTTCTGTGTGTATGGTGGAAGGTAGGACTTTGTGCTTAAAGTGTGTTTTTTATTTAGCTGTTTTTATCCATAACAGAATAATTTGGGGTGAATGCATAGCTGCCGGGATCTGCTAAGTAGCTTACAGCAATTGGAAATGGAAATGGGTTTGTGTCTTGCTTCTCTTAATAGTGAAAGGCTAACCCCAAGAGTTGTAACAGCAGCTGTGTTTGTCGTCTAAATAGCATTGTACTAGTGTGTGTACAAGTCTTGTCATTGACTAGCATTCCTGTTAGTGGACTGATTATGTAGCCTGATCAGGTTCCCACTTCAGCTTCATTGAAAATATTCGTATAGCAGCACTTTTACTTTTTTTATTTTAGACTAGTTATTTAAATAGATTTGTCCTCGATGTGAAAAGTGGATTTTTTGTGTGTGTTTTTTTTACCCATTCATTGCTTCCAGCCTGCTATTGAGAGTTTAATTTTTAAGAAAATGAATATTTTTTTTAATCACTTTTGCCTTGTAGGTTAATCTCCGAGCCACTGATGTGAAGCTCATGCGCCAGCTACTCATCATCAATGAAAGTATTGAATCAATTAAGTGGATGATTGAAGAGAAGGCCATTGCCAGCAGAGGTAGCAGTTTGAGTGGCAGCCTGTGCAGCTTGCTGGAAAGTCAGGACACATCCCTCCATGGCAGCTGTAACAGTTTACAAGACTGTAGTGATGGACTGGATGGAATATCAGTGGGGAGTTATTTGGACACCTTAGTGGATGATGTCCCTGGTCACCAAACCCCTTCAGATATGGACCAGTTTAGTGATTCTTCTATTATGGAGGACTCACAGCCTCTGCATAAGCATCCCAAAATTGATTCTGATGAGTACTACTGTTTTGGTTAATAAAAACAAGATCCAGTGGGACGCAAATGCACTTCTACTTAACTTTTTTCTTTGCTGCTATTTTATTTCATGTGCAAAACTCCCAAACTTCTCTTCAAAGGAAAACATAATGTGAGACTTTGATTTCACTTCATAACTTTTCTGTTGCTTCTAATACATTTTCTCCTTGGTGGGTTGGGCTTTTCTCCTCCTCACCTTTTCTTTTTTCTTAATTTATTGTTGTAATTTTCTTTTTGTTTTAATTTTTTACAATGCTGTATTTACAGGTCTTTAAAAGTGGTGAAGGAAAAGCTTTATCTTTAAAAGGAGACATCAGGGGATGAGAGAAACAATTTTGTATTTCTTGGCAATAAAATACCTTCTGATAAATATATGTTGTAGTAAATTTTCTTGACTAGCAGGTTTGGCCTTTCTAAAGATACAATTCTTATTCAGCCTTAAATCTGAATCTTGAAAATACCTCTACAAAATAATTTTCCTTTTGTAAGCAATGAAATTTGATTCTGTTAAGCTGTATTTACTTGGAATATAAAGTATCCTAAACTTTTCTGTGTGTGATTTCTTTCTTCTTGAATGTTATCCTCATTCTAGTCTAATTATTTTAACTTCATATCTTTAATTTTCATTGAACCTGTGGTTGTATAGACACAGTCAATATCTGTAAAAAAATGAAAGAGGCATCCCACATTAAAAATACCCAATTCTAATAGTTTGGATACTGAGCCAAAATTCCTCAGCAGAGTTATTTTAATAATGTAATTTAAAGCCTTGACAATTTTTGCCGTGAAATTTTGAGGGATTTAGAGGGCACTGGTGAAACATTTTACAGGAGGCAGCATGCTACAAGGCATGTCCTGTTTTCCTTTTGTACGCGCACCCTCATCTTTAGCAAGTTTACTTTCTTTTTACCGAGTATTATTACTAAGAGAAAGTGTTGCCCTACTGTCTTTGTTTCCTGTTTTACAAATAAGTTAGCATTAACCTTTTTGTGCCTACTGGTACAGTTGAGAGCTGTGGCTAGTTACTTGTATTGGAAGCATCTGAGAAGAAAAACAGGAACAAACTGCTGTGTGGAAAGTCTCTGGCTTTGACACTCCCCTTGCCCGTGTTTTTGTGCAGAAGACTAGGAGGGAGATTTTTTCTTTTAATTGCTTCAGAATCATAAAGAAACAAGATTTTATCATTCTAAAGTAAAGAAATAATAAGAATAAATGAAAACAAATTGACCTGGACACTTTAACAGATTAATGAATGTGTATTTCCAGCTTACAGATAGTGAAAGAGATGCTGATGCTTACACATCATCTAAAAGTGTCCTGTCTTGCCATGTCTGTATTCCTACTGCCAATAAAGCCTGAAATTCCCTCACCAAAGAAATTAATGTTTACCAAGCATAATGCAGGCTCCCTATTTAAGATATATTTTACACATTCTGAAGGAATAAAGCTAGTATATGCAGCAGTCAATGTATGTTGGTTTGGTTCATTTTCAAGTTAAGTAATAACCCAAGAAGGTTCTGCTCCTCCACGCCATATTTCCATGGGTCTGTCTTGTCCAGCCTTGATCAACATCAAATGTAGAGAAAAGGTCAAAACTGAAGAAACTAGAAGTGGCAGTTTGTGCTTTGTGGTTAGCTCCATTACTTCTTGATATAGTGGATGTCTGTGTCCTCCAAATTAAAAAACAAGATATGTATATTTCGCTCCAGACATCATGATTTAGGCAAATAGAATGACGGTGAAGAAATGTGTGGTTAACAAGAATGAGGCTTCTAGTTCAATTTCTGAGATCAACCAACTTATTGGATAGGAAAACAGAGGCAAGCCTTCACACTACAATGCTGTGCTGACTTAGCATTTTAAGTTTTTTAATTCCTTCCCCAGCTTATGACTGCTGGACATACTGTGAAAAAAACAGTTTGAAGAAAATATGTTGAAAAAATATTTCTTAGTGTACCGTTAAACAGAACATCAACTGTGAATTCAGAATAGGTTTTATTACTTTAAATTGTTTAAATATAGGGAACAGAACTAACTCCCTGGTGTAAAACTGTGATTCTCTTGAAAGTTTTTCTGCCTTTGTTGCTTGGTGTGGAAGTCAAACTTCAGGATGTATACTCCCTCTGAATGTAATGAATGTGCAGTCTATACAGCCTTTTATTCTCCAACTGAGAGTTTGGGCAGTAGGCCAAGACGTACATAAAATTTTTCTACTCTGAAGGAAATTCAAAAGTACTCTTAACATACCTTCTCAGATATCCCCTAGAGTTATGCTGAAATTACTTCAAGGAAAATACAGGCTGTCGCTGTCACCTGCCAACTCACAGCTGTAATGTTCGGTAGAGAGTAATTACATCAGTGATAGATTTATCATATTATGATTAAAAAATTCATTAGAATCATAGTCAAAGCTGGCAAAAAAAACCCCTTCTACTAGAAGTGTTAAATAAAAACCGTATGTTATTAGAAGTTTTTATTCCTGTATGTCTCTTGAAGTACAGGAAGTTTCTCTACTTCTGGAAGTAGAGAAAAAGTCCAAATGACAAAACAGAGATGCCAGGAGACTGTTAGAAGGAAACAAGAATTTCAAAGTGGTGTGTTTCTCATATCCAGGAACACAAACACCTTGGCTTTTATTTTTGAAGCATAAAAACTTCAAAGATTTAGGTTTCACTTAGATTCCTTAGTTGGATGAATAGGACTTCATAGCCAAAATATAATAATTTACTCTCACTACATGCCTAAGACAGACTATGAAATTTTATTATTTCCTAAAATGAATCAAACATCTTAAAACTGAACTACAACTTCACTATTTAGACAATGGAAAATATTCAATGCTCCTTAAAAAATATACCACTGGGTAATTAATTTTGCTTTTAAACTGTTTGTAGATTTCTTCCAGCTTCATGTTGACGTGGTTGACCTTGGTCTTGCAAAATCTTTGTCTGGTAAAAGGGGATCTGGATGCCCTCTTCTAGCATTTTGCAGAGATGGGTTCTTTTTTCCATTGGGTTTCCATGTACATTTTTTTCTGAATTACAGAACTAAAACACAATATTCGGTAGTATAGGACAGATTATCTGAAAGCACTTTACAAAGCTATGTCTGTTTCAAATAGAAAAAAGCAACAGAATAAAAAAAAAAAGTGGAAAAATAGCAAATATAATTAATTTATTTTTTGTCATTTTCTATCATCTTGGCTATTCTGTCACTTAGCTTGCTTCCAGGCATGACAGACAATTTCAAGACAATTCATGAAATCACAGATAAGCAACACCCTGTCTGTTCTTAGTTCCATATTGCTGAAGTTTTGGCTTTGAAATACATCTGACTATGTAAGATGTGTAATTCAAACACAATGAGGGACAGTTCAAAAAAGACAGATTCAGTATGCTTTCTGTTTTAAAATAACAGTTTCGTGCTAATAATAGGAACCAACTAGTAAACATATTCTGCCAAGACAGTCTAACTGTGAAATTTTGTTCCACTTCCGAAAAAGCAATTAGAATTCTTAGAAATCTCTCTGCCAGCTTCTGGGTCTAGTATTGACCTCAAGGTTACATGACTATGTCTCCACAAATGGTATGAGAGGATGAAGAATGAAGCAGAAGCTCTTGCATCCGTCACTAGGCCAGAAACGTACTAGGACACTGGAGACAGAACAGCATTTCTGTCTTTGAGAGGTGCACTACTGCTATCCTCTGAATTGAAACAGAATGATAACAGAAGGCAGAAGTCTGGTGTATCTTGTTAAAATGAGCCCTGACTTTCGAAGTGAGTGGTAAAATGCTGGAAGTACTGTCAAAATATTTGAAAGTTCGAAGTTTCAAAAATCTTTCTCTGCATTTCCCATTGAAAAAGAGGACTGGTTAGTTAAGATGGGTGAAGTGCAGTCTGAAATAATGTCTGGTTACACCATGTATCTGCATCTCCTATAACCCTGTATAATCTACTGAGAAACTGTAGGGTTTTTGTTTAGTAACCTTAAGCAGTTACTAAGCTGTCTGAAAAGCTTGTGCTAGTATTTTTCATGTTGCCAACACTTCTGAACCAGCCTAAAAGATGTATCTTTGATATAAAGAATTAACATATACCCAGTAAACATGAGATCAGTAGAAGGCATCCATCACCTTATAGCAAACGAGGCTTTGTTTTACTTTAAATGTGCTGTACAGCAAGTTTGTCTTTCTCAGAATAGCTATGAATTTACTATAGAAACAGTGTAAGAGCATCCTGCCCTGAAATAAAGAGAAGCTTTTCTCTTAAATAAATTAAAAGAGATTAATGCTGCCTGCACTTGAACTTTCCATTGGTCAGAAATTAAATTTCCCAAGTAAGTATACCTAGAGTGAAAATAAAACAATTTCATTTTTTTTCTCCCATGGAATTTTCTGTGCAATGGCATACCACCAATGAGATGAACAATCTTAGTGAAGATGCTTTTATAAGCGTGCTCTTTCAGCAAACATGTCTCATCTTCAGGACTGGTATTTCCCTGTAGCCTTGCTTGTTGGCCAGTCCTGAAAGAAATGTGTTTGAAAAGATACGTCTTTTAGTTACTCTTAGGTGACCACATGAGACAAATGTCTGAGAATACCTATCAGTAACACAATTTATCATTTTTTTTTTTCTTTTTCCCAAAATTGGCTGAAGAAACTATGTTGCTGTTCCTGAGCATTTTTTAACCTCATTTTTGTCTGACATCCATATGGAGAGAAAGCATCAGATTGAGCCTAGAGGTTTGAAATCATGCTTTTACCTGTGCACCACGGAGCACACTTATCCTCAGTGCAAACTTGTCATAATTGCTGGGTCTAAAATTTTATAGCTAACAGCTATAACATTGTAAAACATTGAAAACCTTTCATATGATCACTGTATTGATCATCTTCTCTAAACCTGTGAGACCACTGACACGTTTTTAATTTAGAAAGGATACTACTTTCATTTTGTGAAGGAAAATGTTTATTGTTAGAACAGCGTTAATTTTGGTCTATGAATTATGAACTCAGGATGAATTACACAATAACGTTAAAAAGCTTTTTTGTTAGACCTGTCTTGTAGTAGACTGTGTTTCTCTTCACTGTTGTTGGAGACAGTGTTTCTCTTCAGTGTTTGTTATACCACTTCAAAATGAAAAACAGTTTACTTTTTTTCAGATGGCATTATGTGAGATTTTGTCACAACTGTTCAAAG